AAAACTAAAATACTAAACTTAATTTTCCCCATTAAGATACAAATTCAAAACTACTTAAAACTAATTAACACAAAAATGGCTTTCTGAGAAGAATATAGCTTATTTTATAAGAAAAATAATAAGTCAATTTAACGGTGAAATACATCTAAAGGTTCAAAACTTATAACGAATTAAAGAAACTTAAAATACCTTAACGATGTATAATAGCGAATCTTTAAGATAACCATTTTAAGAAGGAAAATATATATTATGCATTTATATAGTACTAATAACAAATTATGGTTCTGTAATTTTTTTTAAACACCGAAAAGTACACTTGCATTTATTATAAGAACTACCCCTATATAATGAAGTGCAAAAAATGGACAGTTGCAAAGAGGAAGTATAAACATTAAACAAAAATGTTTTTTATAAATGGTTTATAATTTTTCAAACAGCAGCATATTATAGGTAGCATAATATGCTGCTGTTTGAAAATTATAAACCATTAATACAACGGTTTTGATATGTATTGCAGTTAAGTAAAATATCCCCAAAGTCATAGAATCTGATGTCCAAAATATAGTACGTAGGGACCAAAACTTGATTAAAACTACCGAAGGGGACCATAATCACCACAAAACTAGGTATTCCACTGTGATGTTGTCTCCTCTAGATTTCACGAGTATTATATAGTTTAAGAAAAAAGTACTTGGACTCTTCGGTATTCCAATAGAGAATACACAAATATAATAGAACACAGCTATAAGCTCGGTCGTGTTTATATTATACAATATGCAGTATATAGTTTGTGATTCAGTATGCTTTATGTTATTTTGATAGTAACACGTAATATTTATATAGGAGTACTATATATCTTTCTCTTTGTTTTCTCTTGATCCTCTTTTTCCTATTGGGTATAAGGATAAATGGTGTCCAATAGAAAACGATTTTAAATGTACTATTTACTCTAATTGGTGTGGCAAGAATGTGACAAAGAGTACACCTAATATGTCCTCAAAGAGTTAATAAACACTTAAAATTCATAATAAATTATAATCATCATAAACCTTTACATTTTACTGTGGTAAAATTATCATTGATGTGATTTTGAATAGAAAGGTAGCAATATTAATACATCAATTGCTGATTGTTTAAGCTAATTCGTAGTAAGAACAAAAACTAAAAATACTAATAAAATTTAATCAGAAAAAATATGTATGGAGGAACAAGTTTTTTGAACCAGCTGTAAGTGAATCTTCTCAGAGTAATACCAAAGCTAGAGATTTACTAAGATTTATGTCCCCCAGTGAGGTGTGTGTCTTACTCTTACTTCAATATGTGCTGCAATAAGCCACTGGTTATCAAGTTATTCTAGTACAGTATGTGCTTCGTCTCATCAAAAACACAAAATCGTTGAATATTCGAAATTTTTGAATATTTTCTAATGTGGATATGTAAATTAGACATTCTGACTTAGGCTCAAAAATGGGGAAAATCATCTCAATCAAATCAAAATAATATTCAATAAAAAATTATTGGTAAATATTTTATTTAAAATATTATTTTAAATTAATTTTTTTAAATTGCCTGTGTCTATAGGTTTCAAATCATATTTTAACGTGTCCTTCCTGGTTTTTGGAAGTTATTGACAGTTCTTGTGTCATACTAATTGACATCATAGATAGAAGTAAAGACCTCAGTGTATACACGGCCTCCCTGGTGATATGTATGTGTTGAGACATGTTGACATTGAGTAGCTCTACTCTCCTCGGAGGTTATTGACAGTTCTTGTGTCATACTAATTGACATCATAGATAGAAGTGAAGACATCAGTGTATACACGGTCTCCCTGGTGATATGTATGTGTCGAGACATGTTGACATTGAGTAGCTCTACTCTCCTTGGAGGTTATTGACAGTTCTTGTGTCATACTAATTGACATCATAGATAGAAGTGATGACCTAAGTGTACACACGGCCTCCCTGGTGATATGTATGTGTCGAGACATGTTGACATTGAGTAGTTCTCCTCTCCTTGGAGGTTATTGACAGTTCTTGTGTCATACTAATTGACATCATAGATAGAAGTGAAGACCTCAGTGTATACATGGCCTCCCTGGTGATATGTATGTGTCGAGACATGTTGACATTGAGTAGCTCTCCTCACCTTGAAGGTTATTGACAGTTATTGTGTCATACTAATTGACATCATAGATAGAAGTGAAGACCTCAGTGAATACACGGCCTCCCTGGTGATATGTATGTGTTGAGACATGTTGACATTGAGTAGCTCTCCTCTCCTTGGGGGTTATTGACAGTTCTTGTGTCATACTAATTGACATCATAGATAGAAGTGAAGACCTCAGTGTAAACACGGCCTCCCTTGTGATATGTATGTGTTGAGACATGTTGACATTGAGTAGCTCTCCTCTCCTTGTAGGTTATTGACAGTTCTTGTGTCAAACTAATTGACATCATAGATAGAAGTGAAGACCTAAGTGTACACACGGCCTCCCTGGTGATGTGTATGTGTTGAGACATGTTGACATTGAGTAGCTCTACTCTCCTTGGAGGTTATTGACAGTTCTTGTGTCATACTAATTGACATCATAGATAGAAGTGAAGACCTAAGTGTACACACGGCCTCCCTGGTGATATGTATGTGTCGAGACATGTTGACATTGAGTAGCTCTACTCTCCTTGGAGGTTATTGACAGTTCTTGTGTCATACTAATTGGCATCATAGATAGAAGTGATGACCTAAGTGTACACACGGCCTCCCTGGTGATATGTATGTGTTGAGACATGTTGACATTGAGTAGCTCTACTCTCCTTGGAGGTTATTGACAGTTCTTGTGTCATACTAATTGGCATCATAGATAGAAGTGAAGACCTAAGTGTACACACGGCCTCCCTGGTGATATGTATGTGTTGAGACATGTTGACATTGAGTAGCTCTACTCTCCTTGGAGGTTATTGACAGTTCTTGTGTCATACTAATTGGCATCATAGATAGAAGTGAAGACCTAAGTGTACACACGGCCTCCCTGGTGATATGTATGTGTTGAGACATGTTGACATTGAGTAGCTCTACTTTCCTTGGAGGTTATTGACAGTTCTTGTGTCATACTAATTGGCATCATAGATAGAAGTGAAGACCTAAGTGTACACACGGCCTCCCTGGTGATATGTATGTGTCGAGACATGTTGACATTGAGTAGCTCTACTCTCCTTGGAGGTTTTTGACAGTTCTTGTGTCATACTAATTGATATCATAGATAGAAGTGAAGACCTAAGTGTACACACGGCCTCCCTGGTGATATGTATGTGTTGAGACATGTTGACATTGAGTAGCTCTACTTTCCTTGGAGGTTATTGACAGTTCTTGTGTCATACTAATTGGCATCATAGATAGAAGTGAAGACCTAAGTGTACACACGGCCTCCCTGGTGATGTGTATGTGTTGAGACATGTTGACATTGAGTAGCTCTACTCTCCTTGGAGGTTTTTGACAGTTCTTGTGTCATACTAATTGATATCATAGATAACCTGAGGACCGAGCTTTGCTCGGGGAAAAACATTAGTGTATTCTGAGAGCAGTATTTGGTATTAAGTTCATGTTTGGTATCTTATCTTCTTTGGCAGTATTTTTCTAATCAATAAAATATTTAAGGCTACAGCTGACTATGACCATTTAAGTATAATAACTCTATTATGGGAGGTACGTAATAAATATGCGAAGTAGAGTATTATACATCGTTGGGCGTAGTTGACTTTTCTATGTAAGCAGTAGCTATTATTTTTAAGTATGCATTAATTTGGTGATATTTTTTTAATCAACAAACCTATTAATCTAAGTTAACAATTAAGAAAATCTCTATTCAATAAACAAATACCTATTAAGATACTACATTTTAATGGGCATTTTATTCATTTCACCACAAATCGCTTTATAAAATTGAATGGGCCTAGGCCTTATATGTTCATTAAAATGTTATAAGCTGAGTAATATATTTTTCACTACTAAAATTTTTTTCTTTGGCTTCAAAATATCCATAAGTGAATTATACCGTAGGCTATACCTAATTAAATAAGTGACAAAACATAAAGAAGAATCACATTTTATTTTTAAAATAGGCAACTATAGTCACTTTAATTACACAACCTTTATACTATTTGGCAAAAGATAATTTTGTAACTTGATTGTAATAAAGGGCATTGTAATTTTTTTTCTTAAATTTTTATGAAGTCATTTCGGTGACGCCAATAGATTATTGACCCCTGTTTCGTTGATTTTTACTACTCAGATACTATCCCCAATTGGTGTTTTCATTTCACGTTCGACCTTTTGCAAGCCAATTGAGTATTCAGTTCAGTATCACGTTTAATACACGCTTCCCTAACAATCTTACCACTTCAAAACGTGTTTTAGTCTTTCAGTAATTCCATAACAAAATTCTCACAGCGTCTTTGTTTTGTGGTCTATACATTCATACTTTTACATTTTGACACATGTGAATACATGTTAAAAATTTGCACGTATTAGATATTTTGTTTAGACTCTTTTAGCACGATATGTTCTAATCATAAGAGTTTTTTAGTTATTTGGGCGTTTAAAAATTAACTTTGAGGGTGTGTAAAATAAAAAGCAAATCTACAATGAACTAAATAATAAATAAATAAGTAATAGCACGTTATTCTGAACTAGTGTTGCTCAAATTCGAGCAATTGCTAAGTATTACAGGCGTTATTTTAAAACGAATAACAGTCATATTTTCTGACGACCTTAAAAGATTTGACTCAAAGATTACCTTTCAAAACCATAGAAAACACTCCAACATTCAAAGATAAGAAAAGATAAGAAAGATTAAACTCAAGGGAAAGACGGTAAAAATGTAGTTATTGTTCCAAACGAAGCGGCCAAACTTGAACTCTAGGTAAAATGTATTAATACTTAAAACTTTTCCTCACCGGACAAACTCGAAAACCATCCTGAAGATCAAATTGATTGAAGAAAATATGGATAGAAGAAGAGTTATAAAGAGTATAGATAGAAGTGAAGACCTCAGTGAATACACGGCCTCCCTGGTGATATGTATGTGTCGAGACACGTTGACATTGAGTAGCTCTACTCTCCTTGGAGGTTATTACCAGTTCTTGTGTCAAACTAATTGACATCATAGATAGAAGTGAAGACCTAAGTGTACACACGGCCTCCCTGGTGATGTGTATGTGTTGAGACATGTTGACATTGAGTAGCTCTACTCTCCTTGGAGGTTATTGACAGTTCTTGTGTCATACTAATTGACATCATAGATAGAAGTGAAGACCTAAGTGTATACACAGCCTCCCTGGTGATATGTATGTGTCGAGACATGTTGACAACGAGTAGCTCTCCTCTCCTTGGAGGTTATTGACAGTTCTTGTGTCATACTAATTGACATCATAGATAGAAGTGAAGACCTTAGTGTATACACGGCCTCCCTGGTGATATGTATGTGTCGAGACATGTTGACATTGAGTAGCTCTCCTCTCCTTGGAGGTTATTGACAGTTCTTGTGTCATACTAATTGACATCATAGATAGAAGTGAAGACCTCAGTGAATACACGGCCTCCTTGGTGATATGTATGTGTTGAGACATGTTGACATTGAGTAGCTCTCCTCTCCTTGGAGGTTATTGACAGTTCTTGTGTCATACTAATTGACATCATAGATAGAAGTGAAGACCTCAGTGTATACACGACCTCCCTGGTGATATGTATGTGTCGAGACATGTTGACATTGAGTAGCTCTCCTCTCCTTGGAGGTTATTGACAGTTCTTGTGTCATACTAATTGACATCATAGATAGAAGTGAAGACCTCAGTGAATACACGGCCTCCCTGGTGATATGTATGTGTTGAGACATGTAGACATTGAGTAGCTCTCCTCTCCTTGGAGGTTATTGACAGTTCTTGTGTCATACTAATTGACATCATAGATAGAAGTGAAGACCTCAGTGAATACACAGCCTCCCTGGTGATATGTATGTGTTGAGACATGTTGACATTGAGTAGCTCTTCTCTTCTTGGAGGTTATTGACAGTTCTTGTGTCATACTAATTGACATCATAGATAGAAGTGAAGACCTCAGTGTATACATGGCCTCCCTGGTGATATGTATGTGTCGAGACATGTTGACATTGAGTAGCTCTCCTCTCCTTGGAGGTTATTGACAGTTCTTGTGTCATACTAATTGACATCATAGATAGAAGTGAAGACCTCAGTGAATACACGGCATCCCTGGCGATATGTATGTGTTGAGACATGTTGACATTGAGTAGCTCTCCTCTCCTTGGAGGTTATTGACAGTTCTTGTGTCATACTAATTGCCATCATGATGGATAGAAGTGAAGACTGTTTACACGGCCTCCCTGGTGATATGTATGTGTCGAGACATGTTGACATTGAGTAGTTCTCCTCTCCTTGGAGGTTATTGACAGTTCTTGTGTCATACTAATTGACATCATAGATAGAAGTGAAGACCTCAGTGTATACATGGCCTCCTTGGTGATATATATGCTTCGAGACATGTTGATATTGAGTAGCTCTCCTCACCTTGGAGGTTATTGACAGTTCTTTTGTCATACTAATTGACATCATAGATAGAAGTGAAGACCTCAGTGAATACACGGCCTCCCTGGTGATATGTATGTGTTGAGACATGTTGACATTGAGTAGCTCTCCTCTCCTTGGAGGTTATTGACAGTTCTTGTGTCATACTAATTGACATCATAGATAGAAGTGAAGACCTCAGTGTATACAAGGCCTCCCTGGTGATATGTATGTGTTGAGACATGTTGACATTGATTATCTCTCCTCTCCTTGGAGGTTTTTGACAGTTCTTGTGTCAAACTAATTGGCATCATAGATAGAAGTGAAGACGTCAGTGTATACACGGCCTCCCTGGTGATATGTATGTGTCGAGACATGTTGACATTGAGTAGCTCTACTCTCCTTGGAGGTTATTACCAGTTCTTGTGTCAAACTAATTGACATCATAGATAGAAGTGAAGACCTAAGTGTACACACGGCCTCCCTGGTGATGTGTATGTGTTGAGACATGTTGACATTGAGTAGCTCTACTCTCCTTGGAGGTTATTGACAGTTCTTGTGTCATACTAATTGACATCATAGATAGAAGTGAAGACCTAAGTGTACACACGGCCTCCCTGGTGATATGTATGTGTCGAGACATGTTGACATTGAGTAGCTCTACTCTCCTTGGAGGTTATTGACAGTTCTTGTGTCATACTAATTGGCATCATAGATAGAAGTGATGACCTAAGTGTACACACGGCCTCCCTGGTGATATGTATGTGTTGAGACATGTTGACATTGAGTAGCTCTACTCTCCTTGGAGGTTATTGACAGTTCTTGTGTCATACTAATTGGCATCATAGATAGAAGTGAAGACCTAAGTGTACACACGGCCTCCCTGGTGATATGTATGTGTTGAGACATGTTGACATCGAGTAGCTCTACTCTCCTTGGAGGTTATTGACAGTTCTTGTGTCATACTAATTGGCATCATAGATAGAAGTGAAGACCTAAGTGTACAAACGGCCTCCCTGGTGATATGTATGTGTCGAGACATGTTGACATTGAGTAGCTCTACTTTCCTTGGAGGTTATTGACAGTTCTTGTGTCATACTAATTGGCATCATAGATAGAAGTGAAGACCTCAGTGAATACACGGCCTCCTTGGTGATATGTATGTGTTGAGACATGTTGACATTGAGTAGCTCTCCTCTCCTTGGAGGTTATTGACAGTTCTTGTGTCATACTAATTGACATCATAGATAGAAGTGAAGACCTCAGTGTATACACGACCTCCCTGGTGATATGTATGTGTCGAGACATGTTGACATTGAGTAGCTCTCCTCTCCTTGGAGGTTATTGACAGTTCTTGTGTCATACTAATTGACATCATAGATAGAAGTGAAGACCTCAGTGAATACACGGCCTCCCTGGTGATATGTATGTGTTGAGACATGTTGACATTGAGTAGCTCTCCTCTCCTTGGAGGTTATTGACAGTTCTTGTGTCATACTAATTGACATCATAGATAGAAGTGAAGACCTCAGTGAATACACAGCCTCCCTGGTGATATGTATGTGTTGAGACATGTTGACATTGAGTAGCTCTTCTCTTCTTGGAGGTTATTGACAGTTCTTGTGTCATACTAATTGACATCATAGATAGAAGTGAAGACCTCAGTGTATACATGGCCTCCCTGGTGATATGTATGTGTCGAGACATGTTGACATTGAGTAGCTCTCCTCTCCTTGGAGGTTATTGACAGTTCTTGTGTCATACTAATTGACATCATAGATAGAAGTGAAGACCTCAGTGAATACACGGCATCCCTGGCGATATGTATGTGTTGAGACATGTTGACATTGAGTAGCTCTCCTCTCCTTGGAGGTTATTGACAGTTCTTGTGTCATACTAATTGCCATCATGATAGATAGAAGTGAAGACTGTATACACGGCCTCCCTGGTGATATGTATGTGTCGAGACATGTTGACATTGAGTAGTTCTCCTCTCCTTGGAGGTTATTGACAGTTCTTGTGTCATACTAATTGACATCATAGATAGAAGTGAAGACCTCAGTGTATACATGGCCTCCCTGGTGATATATATGCTTCGAGACATGTTGATATTGAGTAGCTCTCCTCACCTTGGAGGTTATTGACAGTTCTTTTGTCATACTAATTGACATCATAGATAGAAGTGAAGACCTCAGTGAATACACGGCCTCCCTGGTGATATGTATGTGTTGAGACATGTTGACATTGAGTAGCTCTCCTCTCCTTGGAGGTTATTGACAGTTCTTGTGTCATACTAATTGACATCATAGATAGAAGTGAAGACCTCAGTGTATACATGGCCTCCCTGGTGATATGTATGTGTTGAGACATGTTGACATTGATTATCTCTCCTCTCCTTGGAGGTTTTTGACAGTTCTTGTGTCAAACTAATTGGCATCATAGATAGAAGTGAAGACGTCAGTGTATACACGGCCTCCCTGGTGATATGTATGTGTCGAGACATGTTGACATTGAGTAGCTCTACTCTCCTTGGAGGTTATTACCAGTTCTTGTGTCAAACTAATTGACATCATAGTTAGAAGTGAAGACCTAAGTGTACACACGGCCTCCCTGGTGATGTGTATGTGTTGAGACATGTTGACATTGAGTAGCTCTCCTCTCCTTGGAGGTTATTGACAGTTCTTGTGTCATACTAATTGACATCATAGATAGAAGTGAAGACCTCAGTGTATACACGGCCTCCCCTGGTGATATGTATGTGTTGAGACATGTTGACATTGAGTAGCTCTACTCTCCTTGGAGGTTATTGACAGTTCTTGTGTCATACTAATTGACATCATAGATAGAAGTGAAGACCTCAGTGTATACACGGCCTCCCCTGGTGATATGTATGTGTTGAGACATGTTGACATTGAGTAGCTCTACTCTCCTTGGAGGTTATTGACAGTTCTTGTGTCATACTAATTGACATCATAGATAGAAGTGAAGACCTCAGTGTACACACGGCCTCCCTGGTGATATGTATGTGTTGAGACATGTTGACATTGAGTAGCTCTACTCTCCTTGGAGGTTATTGACAGTTCTTGTGTCATACTAATTGACATCATAGATAGAAGTGAAGACCTCAGTGTACACACGGCCTCCCTGGTGATATGTATGTGTCGAGACATGTTGACATTCAGTAGCTCTCCTCACCTTGGAGGCTATTGACAGTTCTTGTGTCATACTAATTGATATCATAGATAACCTGGGGACCGAGCTTTGCTAAAATGTCACTACTAAAATTTTTTCTTTGGCCTCAAAATATCTATAAGTGAATTATACCGTAGGCTATACCTAATTAAATAAGTGACAAAACATAAAGAAGAATCACATTTTATTTTTAAAATAGGCAACTATAGTCACTTTAATTACACAACCTTTTATACTAAAGGGTGTCCCAGTAAGAACGCCGGATTTGAGGAGCGTCTTATCCTTATCTGTATTTCAATATAAATTCCCAAATTATCAGCAATGTTATCAGTATTAGGTCCCATTTGTAGTCATGAATCGCTACACGACGGAACAACGCGTGGTCATAGTTAAAGTGCACTACAAGCACGGAAGCTGCGCACTATTTACGGCCGGGACAATGCACCAAATGATCCATCTGTCCGAAGATTGATTTCTAAGTTCGAATAAATTGGCTCAGTTCTATTCCGGGGATATTTAAAGTCGTTTGTTTTCGCCAATAATCCTCAACCAATCCAAGACTTGAAGGAGGAAATGATTCGTGCCATTAATGGAATTCAACAGGAAGTGTAAGAAAAAATGACGGAAAACTTTGTCAAGAGATGTCGGGCCTGTCAGTATTTGGCAGGTTGACACTTACAAGACATAATACTCAATTACTAATCGGAGATACTATGCTTTAAGATTCATGTTTCATATTGTAAATTTAGCATGAATATATATGGTTTGTTAACATTTCAAATCCGGCGTTCTTATTGGGACACCCTTTATTTGGCAAAAGATAATTTGTTAATTTACTTGTAATAAAGGGCATTGTAATTTCTTTTTCTTAAATTTTTATGAAGTCATTTCGGTGACGCCAATAGATTATTGACCCCTGTTTCGTTGATTTTTACTACTCAGATACTATCCCCAATTGGTGTTTTCATTTCACGTTCGACCTTTTGCAAGTCAATTGAGTATTCAGTTCAGTATCACGTTTAATACATGCTTCCCTAACAATCTTACCACTTCAAAACGTGTTTTAGTCTTTCAGTAATTCCATAACAAAATTCTCACAGCGTCTTTGTTTTGTGGTCTATACAATCATACTTTTACATTTTGAACACATGTGAATACATGTTAAAAATTTGCACGTATTAGATATTTTGTTTAGACTCTTTTAGCACGATATGTTCCAATCATAAGGGTTTGTTTAGTTATTTGTGCGTTTGAAAATTAACTTTGAGGGTGTGTAAAATAAAAAGCAAATCTACAATGAACTAAATAATAAATAAATAAGTAATAGCACGTTATTCTGAACTAGTGTTGCTCGAATTCGAGCAATTGCTAAGTATTACAGGCGTTATTTTAAAACGAATAACAGTCATATTTTCTGACGACTTTAAAAGATTTGACTCAAAGATTACCTTTCAAAACCATAGAAAACACTCCAACATTCAAAGATAAGAAAAGATAAGAAAGAGTAAACTCAAGGGAAAGACGGTAAAAATGTAGTTATTGTTTCAAACGAAGGGGCCAAACTTGAACTCTAGGTAAAATGTATTAATACTTAAAACCTTTACTCACCGGACAAACTCGAAAACCATCCTGAAGATCAAATTGATTGAAGAAAATATGGAAAAGTCAGAACAAATAAAAATGCAAGTTCCCCATCGAATTGCAGAAGTTACTCTAAATTCGTTGCTATGGATTTGATAATAAAATACTTTTATGTTAAAATCCGCAAGAGTAGGTGAGGTTCATAGTTCTTATAAAAAGCTAACGGTATCCCTAGATCTGGCGGCGTCGTCTGCTAGCCGTGCACCTGTGAGATGGCAGAGGTTTTGGTCAACTTTGGTAGTGGCCTCATTAAACTGTTAATAACTCTGTTATATTGAATGGAAAACACAATAAATTATATATATTCTGATTCAGCACAAAACAATGAACAATTTAGTGAAAGTTATTTATTTTTTTACTCATAGTTGTCATAGTAACAAAGAGATAAGTTTATTTTTTTTTTACTTTGAAAAATAAAATTTGAAATTTTATTGATTATAAGAAGTTTTACAATTTTTTTTTCTTATAAAGATATATTGGAAAAAGTTTGGCAGTTTAGTACTCTACGTAGTAATATAAAGACTTTTGGAATAATTGTAAAAGGATTAGTAAAAAGTCAATAAATCTTTCAAAATGTGTTTTCACAAAAAAAACGCAAATAAAATTTTGAGTGATGTCAAAAAAAGTAATAAATTCCAAGAGTCAATAAAAGTTGCATGTTTATACTCAAAAACCATAGGGCTTTCAATAAATATTTGTATTTTACTGATTATTGCAACTGAAAAAATTAAAAAACTCAAAATATAAACAACTTCTACATTTTTTATGAAAAATGTATAACATATTCGCATGAATGAAATGATTATAAAATCTTCAATACCTCATGTATGAAATTCTGAGATATAAATTTTGTTACTAATTTTATGTACTTTTAGAATATATATAGGGTTTTTTGCTAAACCTAAGTAATAAGTCTCCTATAGAGTGTTTTGTAGAAAGTCGCAACCAAAAAATTCATTTTCGAAAAAAGTGACAAGTCATTACAAAGTGATATGGTAAAAAAAAACAAGTCATAAACTGGGTTGAAAAACATTGAAATATATATTTTATGACTAAATATGATTATTACAAATATTTACAAAGTAAGCCTACATTGTATTTGGCATACAAAATTAAAATCGGCTAAGCCTACGCAAAAAATTGGCTGCCAACCAAAAAATGAAATAGCCTTGGCCTAAATTAGAAATAAACTTATAATGAAGAAAGTATATTTACAAGCATGGTTATAGGCTATAAACTGTACAAACAAAAAAGAAATAGGCCTAAATTATAAAAAAAACTTTATTAATAAGTCGCCTAAAGAGTTTTGTACTACACTGTCACAGCACTATAAAAAAATCACCTGTTTTCAAAATTTCCCACACGCGTATATAGAAACGCCCGTAGATGTTTTATATATGAAAAATAAAGCCCGTAATCTCATCTTCACAACAGTATAGGTTGTTAGTAATTTATTCCATCATAACACAACGAAATATGTGTTTGAGTGTGCCAATGACAAATTCGGCTCAATGAGCCTCTGCCATCTCACACTACACTTGCCAAATTCGGCTCATTGAGCCTCTTGCCAGATGTAGGGTTTTAATGTATACCTGTTTAACCTATACAGACGATTTTACAGGTGATTTTACAGGCGATTTTGATGGCGGTCACAATATTATGTGCTCGCTGGTCACAACAATGGAATAAATATTTGTAAACCTAATCTTTAAAGCTGACAACCACACTTAACTGTTTATCAATTATGATTATCATTTGCCAAGGGAACACCACATTTGTGCGTATTTTAACCCAAATACAGTATAAGTGAAGGATGAGTGTAGATTTGATTGAGATGATCTGTGTAGCTTTGTTACTGACTAAGATCAGCTGTTTGATTAGTCATGACCATTTTACAATCGATCTCTATTATTTACTATAAAAGCCCAATGATCAAGGACAGCTGGGTCCAGTTTCAAAAGATCAAAATGCTTTAC